CAAACCATTGGTACTATTTGTTTTTTCTCCAGAAGGAAAAACGAAAAAAAAGGATCATTACAATGCATAACAATAGGTTAAGGTCGAATTTTATTTTTATTTTAATTAACTTCATTATATTAGATTAGATTTTGTCTCATTTTTTGTCATTAAGCACGTAACGCTTTTAACATTTGTAATACTTTTTAATTTGGGTTAATCACTTTCGATAATCTATTATCAATAAATGTATTTATTGATAATCCAACTTATTTAAATTTACCGGCTGTGTGACATTTCCTTAGTCCGCGACTGTACACCACCTGTGTGATACCGAGGCGAGCAAAAATAGTAAACCAAGTATTTCAAGAATTTCGAAGTTCGCCGAGTCAGCTAGTATTATAATAAGTTGTCATTTTTTTAATATAAACTAGTTGTTTCTCACATAAAAGATTTACAACCCTATCTTATTACTCTTCACATTAATTAGTAAACTATAATCTATACTCAGTACAGCCAGTCTAATTTCGTTGTGCTGCCATGTCTACATAATTTAGCCCAAAGGTTGACTGACATAGTCTATTTCAAAGGCATTAAGTCATTTGATAACCTTTAATAAACATGACTGTTTTTTTTTAAGTTCCCATGAAATGAAGCAAATGGCCGATTTAACATTTTAAAGAGAAAATGGTTACATTAATATACTGCTAAACTGCTAGAACTCATAAAACTTTTATTACTTTTTTTTGAATTCTCAAACAAATATCACGAGGACATAAAACGCCCATTAAGAAGACAAAGCTCTTAAAACTTTTCAAAGTAGAACATAATCCGTTTCTCCTTCATACCTTGAGTTAAATGCTTAGTTTTGAAGTAGGAGAAGCGCTCACGTAGCTTTCACTACCCATGTCCATTACTGGCTAAAAGCGTTCCCTATGTTTCAGACTTCACAAGTAAGTACATATCAAGTAGTTTCGTTTCAAAATTAATGGTCATTTTAGAGGGTGGAGGACTCGCTTTTTATGTCACCTGTGATAAAATGATAAAATTAGAAATTGAACTGCAATTTTAGTGAAAATGAAAGAAATTAAGTCCTGTCAAGAACTCGCTATAGTCCAATTTTCTGTGTACTTTTTCCATCGACAAATTACAAAAAAAAACTATTACAAACAGCAGCTACTATAGTGTGTATGGAAAATCTGACATTTATAAATATATAAGTGTGTCAGGAGCAAGATCGTGTGTCAGGTGATAGATCCGAGTAATGTGCTATTATATTTATGAATGCTAACTATATGATACTAATAACACATATTAGGTATGAGTATATTTATTTATTAATACATTACGCACTTTTGGTTCATTGGCGGACTTAATGCCCAAGGCATTCTCTACCAGTCAACCTTAAGGTGATGCAGAGAGAACAGGAAGTAGGTGCATTTTGGTTAGACTTCGTTTGTCGTTATAATTTCATACCATATACTAGAACCCATACCCATTATACATACGCACATTCATATACTTAAATACATATAAACATACATCAAAACATACATACCTAAATTAATACCATTAATAATAGTAGATGACGATCATACGTCAGTTGATTCTACCAGTTGTTTTACAAAATACTGCTTCACTTTAGTTTTGAATTAGAAAGTGTTGGATGCCATCCTGACCTCGAGGGGAAGCTCATGCCAGAGAACAATGGACTTCACAATAAAGGATGAGCCAACAATCTCATTCGTGTCCCCCACACGAATGAGATTGTTGGCTCGGACGACGAAAAAGAAGGTTATTAGAGGACCGAAGGTGTCTGTTGTGATTACTGCATAAAAGTTGGAAGTAGGAGTTTAAATATTTTGGAGAACATGGATTATTTAACAGAGATTATAAGACAGTGTAAGCGCGTAGTTTTCGGCGTAGACGAATTGGTTGCTAATTTAGCTGCGAACGGATAGATACATGATCAGATTTACGCACGCATTTTTTTTCCGTACGTAAAAAAAAGCAAAAAATAATGTATGTGTATGTGAAGGAGATTACAAGAGATTTATTTGTTGTTATCATCCTGTATTGTCTTGTGTACTATTAACTTTATTCTGATATACATAAGTGAGAATGTATCACTGACAGTTTTCTTGCCTGCTTATATTCTGGTTTTCAAAGCAGTAAATACTTCATAGTTCAATATAAAAATAAATAAATTAAAATAATAGACGTATAAAAAAAAAAAGGAAAGGGACAAAATGTGGACGATTTAGTAGTATTAGTATGTACTACGATCACATGCCTACCTGCTAGCTTTTACAGGCCAATTTCCAGGTATCAGGAAATGAAGGTCCATAAAAATTAAAAATTAAATTTTCAAACCTGTTGTCAATAGTAAAAAGCACCCCACGCTTTTTTTCAAATTTATTTTCTGTTTTTTAGTTTGGTTTTCTATAGAAAGCGTGTTTTTTTAAACTATTTCTTTTTTAAACTGTATTTTTTTTTTTAATTAGTGTATTGTCATCGGTCCTCGATATATCTACAAAGTTTGAACGAATTCTGACCGTTTAAAGTCAGTCAAAATCACGCCCAAAGGATTCGGTTACAAACATACAAGTGAAGCAAATATAAAGCGTGTAAAAACAAGATTATTTATTTAATTAAATTTACGGCATTTGCGTGCTCTCGACAGGTATTAGGTTCATACCAGCCGGCCAGCCAATCTGACTGAAGTGTGTTGACAAATGCCTTGTCACTCTTTCGCGTTGTCGTTGAAAAGCAGCTAAAGAAACACTTGATCCTGATTTCTGTGAGGCTGTTGTATTACTCCTATCGAGGCGGCTCATATACGTCCTTTTTGTTGTTGACGGGGTGGAAATCCCTTTTAATCTCCTGCTCCTCGAAGACTCAAGAGCTAGGAGTATGTGATGATGCCCTAATCTTGGAGGACCCAGACCATGTTATTTTAGGTCCTCCCCGAAGCGACATCACGCCTAGGCCCATGTGTGTCCTATCTCTCCTATATTCACGAATTCAGTCACACACAATGTTTGTGTAACTCACATGGATGTACAAGTTAAGAGATGGAATAAATATGTAATATAATTTATTTATGGGAATTAACGCGCTCACAATAGGCATTAGGTCACTCCTCCTCAAAAATCAAACCTAACCAGGGTGACACCGGGTCACACAGGGACCAGGGTTACACCGGCCGTGGTCATAGAAACACTTCAGTCAGATTGGCTGGCCGGCTGGTATGAACCTAATACCTGTTGTGAGCACGCAAATGCCGTAAATTTAATTTTATAAAGAATCTTGTTATTATAACCTGTATTGTGAACTTCAAATACTTTCAAATATTATACAAGTACTATAGATGTACTAGTAATTTGATGCAAATAGCTAAGTACACCGTACACCAACTATAAAGCGCGAAATGGAACTATGAAAGCCACGTGTAGTAGTGTGCGAACATCGTTTGAAGTAATGGTGACCGCACTAGTCGTAAGTAACAGACGACTACTGGTAGTAAACCTACATGTACTCATGCGATAATCCACTTGTATTTATGTAAGATTTACGTGCAGATAGATTGAGTAGTGTCAGTATGTACTAAGATCGCATGCCTATTTTGTAATGTACGTAAAAATTAGCTTGGAGAATTAACGTGAGGTAAGTAATGTTTTTATGGACCTTCATTTCCTGATACCTGGAAATTGGCAATTGGCAAATTTACAAATCATCTCGTTGATAACGAGTTGATTTGTAGATGACCAGTTGATCTGAGATACATCTCAGAATGTTTGTAGAAAAGTTACAAAAATTCTGAGATTTATCTAGAATTATCACCTGCGATTTCAATTCAAGTATAAAGGTATATAGAAAAATCTATTTAGGTTTCTTGCCGCTTGATTAGAAAATATTTTCATTGAAGATTAGCTTGTTACATACAAAATAAATCTATAAGTGGAAAATGATGATGATCAATTTCCCTATATTTTATTATCCAAGACATACACATATTCAAAACAAAATATAAATGACCAACACATGACAAACTTGTAAAATTTACATGACCGACTTGTACATGGCATATGCAGATGTTGCTGTAAACTAACAAATGTTTGTATACTAACTATTTTTTACCTGCGACGTCGTCCGCATGGTGGTCGACATACGGCATCGTAAAGAACACCCCTTTTGAGGGGGGTTTTGAAAAATTACTGACAAACTTTTAGATTACTTTTAATAAAGAGTATTTACTGTGAGTTTCAAAATCGTACTACCAAAAATAACGAAGTTTCCAACCACAATTTTGCACATTATGAAATTTAATTTTTAAAAATCCTTTCTTAACACACAACCTAAGAAACATTCCTGCCAAATTTCAGGCTTCTGGACCCAGCGGTTTTTAGTTGTGCGTTGATCAATCAGTCAGTGGATCAGTCTGTCCGTTTCTTCTTTTATGTGTACGAGTAGATATAGATTCTATGCTTTTATGCCATTTTAGAGCATGAATTGACTAAAATGGTGGCAAAATCGCATATATTGTGTATATTGTAATTCGAACCACACGTATTTATTAAAATTATAATTATAACATTAAAAACAATATCTTATATATAAAATTATCTTGTCACAATGTTAGTTACCATACTCCTCCGAAACGGCTGGACCGATTTTTATGAAATTTTATATGCATATTCAGTAGGTCTGAGAATCGGCCAACATCTATTTTTCATACTCCTAAATGACAAGGGTGACCCACCCCTAATTTTTTTTTTAATATTTCCTAGAAATAATGTATATAGCAAAACAACGTTTGCCGGGTCAGCTAGTATATATGTATATACATTTACTACAATAATCATTTTAAGAGACAGGTTTATGTGTTGTACACAGCACTTAATAAAATGCTCAGGTGCTTTAAAAAATATCAAATAGAAGCTAAGTATTGAAATAAGGTTTTAAAGTGTATACTTATAGTCTATTTTTTTGTTTTCGTAAATGTGGAAATGCATCAGCATTTAGTTGCGAGGAATATCAACCGATAGATCTGCAATAACATAAGTAAAAGCTGCCCAAAATGCAGCACAATCAATGACGTCAGTCATATTCTGCACATTTAGGGTGTCTCCTTCACTATGATGGAACCAATAGTATTTACCTTCTTGAGTCACTAAAGACGCTCCTGGAATTCCTTTTCTTGTAAAAATTGCGATGTCGGAACCTGGATGGCCACTGTTCTCCATTTTATTTATAGGTTTAAATAAATTTAAGATTTCTTGAATAATACAACGACCTTCTTTCGATGCCGATACATCCAATCCCAACGGTTTAAATGTTCCTTCGTCAGATTCCATTATAAAATTTATATTAGAAAGTTCTTTGTCATGTTTCTTTAGGTATGCCTGTGCGCCAATAAGACCATTTTCTTCACCAGTCCATAGTATTGCTCTAACAGTTCTTCTAGGTTTCAAATGTCGTTGGTTTAGTATAACGGGAATGAACCAACTGATAAACATGCCTCCTCCATCATCCATCGCTCCTTGACCAACGTCCCAACTGTCTATATGTCCAGATACAATAACAGTTTTTTCAGGTGATCGAGACCCTTTCAGATCGATAAGTGTGTTACGAGATGTCTTTTTATTTAATTTACTGCACATTTTTATAGTCACCACTATTTTGTTTCTTTCATCTTGCAACCTTCTCATTAAGTCGGCGTCTTCTAGTGTAATTGCGGCCGTGGGTATTTTTGTTACGTTTTTATCATAACTTTGAGCACCCGTATGTGGCGTATAAATCGAAAAAGGAGTTATACTTCTAATAAGAGTTGCCACGGCACCTTTTTTAGCGGCTTTTGAAGCTCCTTGAGTTCTGTAGATAACGGTTTTACCATAGGAAATAAAATGGGCGTCAAAAACAACAATTTTACCAACAATGTCTTTTTGATTTGTTTTTTCTAGCTCTTCAAAATTATTTATAACTATAACTTCGGCTGTGATTCCTTCTGGTGGTGTGCTAATACTAGTACCAAGACCTAAGATGGCAATATTTTTAGATTGCGGTTGCAACATTCTAGCAGATTCGTGTAGACGTTCCCAGTGCGGTACCTGAAAAAACCGTTTTACATCTTTCTAAATTAATACAACTAAAATTGCAGTCAAAGTTATGAAATGTCAAACTTAAAATAACTTTTAGGAATGTTCTACGGTTGAAATTTTACCCATCATCATAATCATCAACAGCCTTCACCAGGGTTTGTTTCTTTACTCTAGGGTTTGTTTACCCATACTCAACCAATTTTTTTTATAATTTAGACCAGGAGGATGCTTAATATTCCTAAGCAATTGCAACAAAGTTGAATATTCACACTTAGCTACCTTCCCGCTCAAACAATTTAAGTTGTTCACATTTTCAAGTCAACCAGCTCGTTCAAGTGAGAGTTTTAATTCCTCAGCTAAGAACCGATGTATCCTCGTTTCTAAGGAGAGGCCTATGTCCAGAAGTGGACTGTGTGATGTATGTATAATACGGCGGTAGTTGTAATAATTTTTATAAAGCCCGATTATTACGCTACCGCCAATCTCACTTGGGATTAAACTTTGTTTGATTTCGCTCCTTAGGTAAACCTAGAAGTACGACCTAACAAGTCTAGACTTATCAGTGGCGACCAGGTAGTTATCGTTCACGTGTGCAAGCTATATTTTTTTTGTTGTTTTCGGCAGTAATTCAAGAAAAAATTCAGTAGGTAAGATCGGGCCGATCGACGCGAGTAAGGATAATTGGCGGTTATACGTGGAAAGGTTGGAACAATATTTTGTAGCTAATGATGTGAAAGAAGCAATAACAGTGGCTACATTAATTATGGTTGTAGGTAGTGACGCGTATGTGTTAATGGTGAATCTGTGTACACCTGAGCGGCCGGCTACAAAAACGTTTAGTCAGTTAGTAAACGTTATGCAAAATCATTTGCAACCACAAGCTAGTGTGTCAGCGGAGCGTTATAAATTCCGACAGCGTAAACAGAGTAAAGACGAGACAATTGCTGAGTACGTGGCGGAACAGAAAAGGCTATTGAAAACGTGCAATTTTAGTGAGTCATTACGTGATAATCTAAGAGATCAGTTAGTGTGCGGCCTACATAACGAGATAATTAGGCAGCGGTTATTTGCGGAGGATTATTTACAGCTTTCATTTGAAAAGGCATATAAGTTAGCAGTGACAGTAGAGGCAGCTAAGACAGGCGCAGATTTGGTTGAAGGACGAGGGGTGGAACATCGGGAACCGGCATCTGTGCACCTAGCTACAGCAGAAGTCAGGCGAGCGGGCAATTATAAACAATACAGTAACCGCGGAGCTACAGCAGCGCCAGCGAAGTGGCCGAGAGGGTCCACGCCACGCGTGCGCCGTGCTAGCCAGGTGGGCGCGCACGATGTTCTGACGGTACTAGCAGGCAAGGCGACGACATAAACAGGGCAGAGAGACAGCAGCAGTGGAAGTTCCTGTATAAGTTATGCTAACTATTTAAAGTGGTTTCCGAATGGCAGTATTCTAAAATGTAACCTTATTTTAAGATATTATATGGACGAAATGATAAAGCCTATGGGCAAAATAAACGTATTAGTTTGCTTCAAAGATAAAAGTAAACATTTAGATAATAGGTCTTTACCTATGAAATTGCCGTTTTGTATGCAATAAGTCATCATCAGCCTATCGCAGTCCACTGCTGGACATAGGCCTCTCCCATTGCACGCCACTTAGATCGATTTTGGGCTTCTCGCATCCAGCTCCTGCCAGCCATCTTGCGCAAATCGTCACTCCACCTGGCCTGTGGGCGTCCTGCAATAAGTGAAAGTACTTATTTTTTCAAACGTTTCTATTTCTGTTATTCGAAGTAATCACCCATGTAATCGACGCATCTTTGCCAACGCATTGGCAGTTTATTGATGCCCTTCTTCTAAAAATCAGCTGGACGGCAGGCAACAAACTCTTCAAAGGCATTTTGTACTGCCTCTCGAGAATTGAATTTTTTACCCACTAAAAACTTGTCTAAATTTTGGAAAAAGTAATATTACTTTTTCCAAAATTAAGACAAGTTTGAAAAAATAAGTACTTTCACTTATTGCATACAAAACGGCAATTTCAAAGGTAAAGACCTATTTATTATATTTGTAATAATCGGGCTATATAAAAATTATTACAACTACCGCCGTATTATACATACATCACAGACTGTTGAAGGCTGTTGAAGATGATTGATGAAGAACCAATGTATAGAGAAGAAAGCTGTGAAACATAAGCAATGTGCTGAGGGAAATAGAAATTGAGTATAACTTGAGAACGATTACGGTCATACGGTCACGATATAAATGAACTAAAATTATTGATTAATAGGGAAAGAAAAAAGAGAAATTTGGCTACTCATGGTAGTAGACATGGTAGTAGTAATTTTTTATTTTAGTTAAATAATCTAAGTTGTTGTTAACGTTTGAAAGTTGTTTATTGCTTACAAGACTAAAAAGCAGAATGACATCGAACAAAAAAGCTATTGCCTGTGGCTAAATTTATACAAAATACGACGAGTTCCATGTAGTTTAACTTACCATGTAGCTTAGCTTAATTTGGCTAAAATTTCAAGTTATTGACGTAAAAAGCAATACTGGTATATGATCTTTTTCAAATAACACGATAATTTTCATCAAATCTAAGTGCATAATGATCAATGTTTCTTTGTTCCTATTTTATTCGCTGTCGTATTATTCATCCCATAATTGTGTAATTTTGCATCCTGGGTAAGGTAAAGAACTTAAGGCCCATTTCATCCATTAAAAAGAAGGATTAATATTCTGGAGAAATGGAAAATTATTATTGGTAGAACAAAGTGACTATAATTTGGTGTATAATATAATATTTTATATGACCCTAAATAAATATCCGACGAGAGACGAGATAGCTACTTAATAAAAGTAATATATTGTTAAAGTCGTTACCTCTAATTCTTCAGTAGTAACATCATTCAGGTCATTCTGTTTGGTCAGGTTAACCATATAATCTATTGCATTTTCTAAATTTGCAGTACCAGCTGGGCGAGCACCAAATTTGTCAATAAACTTGGTGTACCTGTATACAAATAGATTGTATTACAAACCCCTGCCCCATGGTGGTTCCCTTCACTGTGGTACATTGTGACTGCATTTATGAGAACAATCTTTGAAGCAAGTTGTATCTCGTATTAACATTTGACCTCAATCGGTGTAAAACAATGTGAGTTTTTGAAGCGTATTGATAGTTCACGCCCACTTCAAATGAGTAGAAATACATTATTTATTAGCATTATTTTTAAGTGTTTTAAGTTAGACATTAAATGCTAAAGGTGAAAACATACACCTCTTTTTTAACTACAAATCTAGAAAACCCGAAATTTAAATAGAATTTTAATTCTTATAATTATTTGATGCTCACTCTTGATACATCTTCTCACCCGAACCTCTACTTTTTATATCTTCCATAATATTTTTCGTCACATCTTTATAGGAAGCAATTTCTTCTACCAACTTTTTGTCTAATACACACTCATCGTCATCATAACGATTTATCACAACACTTGATTCTACTTTAACGTTAAGTAATACAAAAACTAGAGCAACTTTAAATAAAAATTCCATCGTTGAATACTTAGCAAGCGCTATGACGCTACTAACGAGTGGACCTTATCGCCGCTTATTGAACTTCTGGTATCAAATAATAGATGTTAAGTTCTTATTTATTTTAGTACTGATAATGAGCGCTACATTCTTGTAAGAGTTTGAAGTAACAATTTGTTGGTCTTCATTTTCATATACTTTACATATTCTTCAGTTCTTTTAAAGTAAATGGGCAAAGGAGCAGATAGGTTACCTGATGGTAAGTCCCCTCACCTCCCCACCCCCACTCACTAAAAAGCAACGAAAATATTGCTTTACACTGGTTTATGTAAGGCCGTGCATATCACACGGTCGAGCCGGCCCTATATACCGAAACATGGCTCTCCCACGATATAATTATCTCTTACACAATTATATTTTATTGCTAAGATTAAAATTATATTATCTTATTGCACAATAAAATCCAACGCACTTATTACAACTTTTAAAAGTACGAGTTACTAATTCATGGCTTCAACCGGGCACGTTTGAAATAAATTATGTGAAAATTTTATATTTATTGAAAGGTACGTAAGAAGGTATACTCGCTTCCCCGGCTATTGGCAAGCACAGAAATACCGGGGTGGTTTTCAGTCGAGATACATAATTCTTCTGTGTATGTGACTGAACTCCTCCTAAACGGCTGGACGTCTGTCAGAAAAGCTAGTATATTATATATATACTACTTTTTCTAAATATACAGATATTAGCAATAGACCCTTCCTTCACTGCTCTCCCTTCTTACCTTTTACTTTTGTAAAACTTTTGTCAACGGCCTGGAAGATCCTCATGGATTTCCTTCGCCTTTCGGGGGGAAGGGGTCTGTCGGACTACTATATAAATATAATAATATAATATAAATATAAAATAAAAGAATATTTTTTGGAATGCTCTGTAACCTAAACGGCTTGATAGACTTTGGCTTGAGAGGTAATTTCCATCGTGCCATCATCTGATAAATTCCTATTAATTGTCTGAGTGATACTGAGTATTTCAAAATTTAAAAATAAATTGATATGATCAGATTTTGGCGATAATCTCGATATTTGTATTTTATAGGTGTCACAATAGTTTCACAAATTTTTGGTTAGAAAAATATATACAACCTAAATACGGGTTAAGTCGATCTTGATATTTTAAGAGGTTATGGTTGCCATTATTACTGATATATTTCATTTTTAATACCAAATCCTAAACAAAACATCCCGCTTGCTAACCTCGAGAAAAATATTACTTTATTATTATACTTTGTTAGATAGCTGACAATATGTACATGTTTTTAACAAATCTGTAACTTAACTGTCATAGTTTTTTTTTTAATATTCATCAAAGAAAAAAAGTTACAAATGTATTTCTTTTTGCTATTATTAACTATCTACTTCGGCCCCGTTTGTTAGGTAATCTACACTTTTGGTAATGGAAATTATGATTTTTTTTATCAACTACACAAAAAAGTAAAAAATATAAAAAACTTAAGAATATAAGTATAGTATCATAAATTTCAAAAAAATCGTATGAGGCAAGATTTCGGCATTTTTTATAAAAACTCTTAAAAGTCCATTATATTGAAAAAGGTTAGGTTTAGGATATAGTATTAAGTAGTGAAATCTATCAGAAATGATTTCTACTATAACGCTGTAAAGTATGTTTTTTTTGTTTGTAAATTTTAACTAAACAATTATCAGTCCGCCGTACGCAGAAACATTTTTAAGGCAAATAATTATTAAAAAAACCTACTCCTTTTCAATAATTATCTGGTCTGGTCTCGTTTAACAGACATACACAATGTATGTACAAGCAATTAGTAATGAAAATCCCATATAATACTGTGCTAATTTCATTGTGATGCTTATGTTAGAAAAGATACATGAAACGTTTAATTCAGTTTTAATATATTGCATATATGTATGTATTTTAAAATGCAGTTAACTTAAAACAAATGTAACAGACGCTCTGTTTTATTTGCGACATTGTAAGGAAATTAAGTCTACAGTTCGTAAATTGAACCAATTGCCCATATCAAGCACAGTTCGAAAATAATAGTAAACAGAATTAACCCAAAAATTTCTCTCAATCATTGATTTGAACTTAGTCTTTCTAATCGACATTATTATTCCATATTACGCAGCAAATAATTAAAAAAAAACTTTTAAGATCATAATTTCTGTGGATTTGTGTATTGTATACAAATCTAGGCTAGTGTAGCAATGTACATTAAAAATATTGTTATTCGTCCAAAATTAAATATTTTGAATATTTAAATAGAAATGACTAGTTATAAGCTATAACGGAACGTTCAAGTTATTTATCAATACTTGTCGTGTTGAAATGTTAAACAACGTTTTTATTTTTACATTTCTGAAATTTATATTACTAGAATAATATTATAATTTTAACAGAAACCAAAGGGTGTTGTGGTGATTTTAATTTAAGTAAGTATTGTGTTTGTATGCAATGTGAATTTCAGTGAATTAAATATCAATTAAGGTAAATTAAAGTTTTGTAATCATTCAGAAACAAATCATCGGAAAACACGGCCCCTATACTGTCCCCGAAAACACTGCTTGAGACTAGTTTCAGCTGGTCTCACGTAAACAAAGGTCACATCTGTCAAAATCTATACCTCTTTTTTTTTCTGTGCGGAACTCCCCTCGGAGTGGGTGATTATGTCGGACTCGAACCTACCAAAAACCGCACGCCGTCTTCAGGTACCAGTAGCCGGGGAACCAGGTATACCCTAGAGAGGAAAGCCCTAGTACCCCGACGTACCTCAGGCCATCTACGGCTTATAGATGACCCCTCCTGTGTGGGAACCCGGATGTTCCGTTCCTGCTCAGAAGGGCGCGCGCACTCCGTAGCGCGTCGCGTCATTACCCACCCCTCAAAATCTATACCTGAGTAAATATTTCGACGTAAACATACTTGTAGTTCAAAAATAAGCTATCACTCACTTGAGTATGAATCGGTGAACATCGTTTGAAGTGATGTTCAATAATAAAATCTCTACTTAAAATTAGTTTTAAGACTAGATTCACGACTGAAACACCTTTTAACATGCTGGCCTAAATCTTACATTTCCTAATAATGGATAAAGTCAGATGCTAATTTAACAGTTAGCGCCTGAATAATTTATCGATGCAATCCAATTAGCAGTATTTTTTGTACGGACACGTTCTGTATTTTTAAATTAGGCATATCTTATTCATGAAGGCACCTAAAAAATATACAGGATAATTTAATGTGGAACAATTGCGCATGCGAATTAACTTAAAATCATTGAATAAATTGTTTTCTTATGTAAGAGAATTACTGCGTCGGTATTTATTGCTACCTTTTTCAAAAACTATGCATAATTGTGCATAGTTTTTGAAAAAGGTACAATGCAATTGTCTATTCTCCGCTATCATTCTCTTTTACGCGGTCCTTAATTTCAATGCTAAAGGGTTATTTTACTTTCATGGCCGGGCCGCCTGTCTGGCGCCGACCTACCTTGTATCAATGTAATCATTTATATTTATTTATAAATGTATTCATTTTGTTATTTGTTTATGGATTCATGTGGACTGATGTATTCAAAGCTGATTCTCTTGTACTTCTGTACTGACTTCTCAAAATTTAGAATTGATGTCACTTTGTTATTTCTTTCATGCCTTTTTGATTTGTGGCAACTTTGTAAGAATCTTATAACTTTTTGGATAAAATTGATATAATTTTTGTTTTCATTACCATTGCAATGATTGGTGAAAAAAAAAACGATGAAAAATACTGGGTAACTTCTTAAGAATATTTTATTTACGGGAATTAACGTGCTCACTACAGGTATCAAATACAAAACTTCGAAATGCCTGATATTGAGACCAATTTTGACAAAAACTAAAAGTAATTATCTTTCTAATATTCTGCCAAAATTCTGGTTTTGTACAATTAAAATGAAATTAAAAATTTGCAATCACCTAGATTTCAAAACTTTCAGATTTTTTTACAGAGCAAACGATTCGAAATCAGATAAACCACACAAAAGATTACTGACAATGCAATACGTTAATTATAATCGCCTTATTAACTCCTTAGTATTGCTATTAAACACTAATAAAATTAAGTTGTGACAGCCATGTGAGTGTTGGCTAAGCCCGATTATATAGCCGTGATTAAAATATTATTATAATTAGAAAGTAAATTATGCTACTTACTAAATAATAAATAATAATAAAAAATAAAATAGCTTTATTTATTCCACATAAAATAAATTACAATTATGGGTTGCCAATTATTAGTTGGTAAAATCGAATTATTTTATAATAAAATAATTGAAATAGTAATAGTTATATAATCATGCACGTTTAATTTGTGGACCCCCTCAGGGTGAAAGCCTCCTCCAAAGAATTCCATTTTTTTCTGTTTTTGGCAGTGGTCATCCAGTCTCTTCCTGCGTAGGCCACAATATCGTCCTGCCACCGGGCGCACGGCTACTTACTAAATAGCAAATTTTAAAGCCAAATGAGTCACATGCAAATGTAGGGCTTCTCGTAGTCAAGTGGGTCATTTTTCACCGCCAGGCCCGCCAGTCCACGGTCGGTCCAATCCCGGGTAAGGGTAATAATGCTTCATTAATCGGGCGACTTCTGGCCACAATGTGTTTTAAAAATACATAGCTATATATACGCTATAATATTAAATGCCAAGATTCGTATTTAATAAATCCTCTGTAAGAAATTGACGTAGATTTATCTCAGTATATTTTTTTTTTATTTGTAGTATATGGCACCGTACATTCACTTTTATTATAATTTTTTTCAATAAGAAGACAAAGTAATGTTACCGAGAGCGAAGTAAAGTTTTTAGAAGAGTAGTAGATTAGTAGAGTACAATTTTTTATCTTTATTGTATGATATCTAACTATCGCATGACTAGCATTATTAAGGTACAGTCAACTTTTAAGTTTTTAAAAGATTCAAAATTAGGACTTTGAATCTCATTAATTG